TACTACAAAGCCACAGTCATCAAGACAGTATGGTACTGGCACAAAGACAGAAATATAGATCAATGGAACAGAATAGAAAGCCCAGAGATAAATCCACGAACCTATGGTCACCTTATCTTCGACAAAGGAGGCAAGGATATACCATGGAGAAAAGGCAGGCAGGTTCTTTGCCAGCTGAGCCATGGGGGAAGCCTAGTGATGGGGAATGGCTATAAATACAGATGGAGCTTTACTTGCTCACCTGCCTCTTACCTCCTGCTGTGTGACCCAGTTCCCTGTTGGGGTCCCCTGTTCTAGAACACTGTGATTTCCTTTCTTTCTCTCCCCTATCCTTTCCCCCTTTTCACTGGCATCTGTTTTTATAGATGGCTCCAGTCCAGGCTTATCAACCTAGACCTGTTCTGTACTGTGTGTTCTCCTAGGTGTTTCCAGTTTCCACATGTTGACTGAGGGTTTTTCCTTGCAAGTCCCCCTTGACCGTCTGGCTTTCTGTCTTTTAGGGAAGAAAAGCCCGGACCTGGGGGAGTATGACCCCCTCACACAGGCCGACAGCGATGAGAGTGAAGATGATCTGGTGCTTAACCTGCAGCAGAAGAACGGGGGTGTCAAGAATGGGAAGAGCCCGCTGGGGGAGGCCCCGGAGCCCGACTCGGATGCTGAGGTCGCAGGGGCCGGGAAGCCACGTCTCTCTGAGGTCACCCCTGAGGGGTACCCCTTGGAGCCCCTGGGGGCCCTGGAGCAGAAGGCGGCCTCCTCGGTCGTGTCCTACGTGCGCACATCCGTCTTCTTGTTGATGCTGGTGGTCTCTATGGTCCTGGTGCTTGTGTGTGCTTTCCTGATCCCCTGTCCCCCCCGGGACCTGCACAGCACATGGAGCCGCCACCTGGGTCCCCAGGGAGGTGAGCGGCTGGGGGGGGGGGTGTGGGCTGGAGGGTTTCAGGCTGTAAGACTTCTCCATCGTGTGTCATTCTGGAAAGCGCCTGATGACACTGAAAATTTCCTTCAAGTCTTTACATGTTAACATGTGTCGCCTACCATTTCCCCTGCTGTGTGCAGAGATGGTTTGGGAGTTAGGGTTGGAAATAAGACCAAAAGATGGATTGGTACGGTTCCAAAATCTTGGGAGGATGGCTGGCTGTGTTTGTACTGGGGAAGTCTTAATTGGAGGCAGAGAGGAGAGAGGCCTGGTTTGCTGGGCTCCAGATGTGCAGCTGAGGCTGGATCAGGGGAGGGCAGAGCTGGGGGAAGGAGGATTCACAGAGAAAGTGAAGCTCCCATCCCGGCCAGGCCAGAGGCCATCTAGGGCTCCTGTAGGGCACTTGGGCGTTCGCTAACTGTAGAAGCCCGGTCTAAATTGAGTTTTCGAATACTTCTTAAAAATTTATTTTTTATTGAAATATAGTTGATTTGGGGGGCTTCCCTGGTGGCTCAGAGGGTAAAGAATCTGCTTGCAGTGCAGGAGACCTGGGTTCAATCCCTGGGTGGGGAAGATCCCCAGGAGGAGGAAATGGCAGCACACTGCAGTGTTCTTGCCTGGAGAATCCCATGGACAGAGGAGCCTGGTGGGCTACAGTTCATGGGGTCACAAAGAGTTGGGCATGACAAAAGGAATAACAGTTTCACTTTCGTAGTTGATCTATAATGTTGTATTAGTTCCTGCTGTACGGCAAAGTGATTCAGTTATGTCTCCATATCTATAGCTTCTTTTTCAGATTCTTTCCACTATGGGCTATCATGGGACATTGAATATAGTTCTCGGTGCTCTCCAGTAGGACATTGTTGTTTATGAAATAATTTCTTTTCAAGAGAAAGAGCGTTGCTTTCTTGCAGTAGTTTTTTTCACCTGCTCTTAATGGTTAAAATGGTGCTACCCAAGTAATTCTGGCTATTTTGATTCATTTTGGAGCAGGTTTGTTTATTTTTTATTTTTATTATATTTTTTATTGAAAGAAAGATTCTTTAAATTTTACAGTACTCTACAGTTTTTAGAGGTTTCTCACCTGTAGTTTCCTATAATCCCATAATAACCTTGTTTTAAAAAATCCTCTATGTTGCTATGCCCTTGTTTCCTCTTAACCACTGGTGACCATTAGTTTGTTCCCTGTAGCTGTGAGTCCGCTTCTTTTTTGTTAGAGTCACTGTTTTGTTGTATTTTTGAGAGTCTACATATAAGTGATACTGTACAGTGTTTGTCTTTTGTCTGCCTTATTTCATTTAGCAGAATACCCTCCAAGTCCATCCATGTTGCTGCAAATAGCAAATTTCATTTTTTTTAATGGCTGAGTAGTATTCCATTGTATATATGTATGCATGTTTGTATACAGGGTATATATATCTTTTCTTTTTAAACTTTTCATTATGTATCAGGATATATAATTGATTAACAATGTTGTAATAGTTTCAGGTGAACAGCCAAGGGACTCAGCCATACCTATAGATGTATCCATTCTGTCCCACACCCTCCTCCCATCCAGGCTGCCACATAATTTGAGTAGAGTTCCGTGTGCTGTACAAAGGTCCTTGTTGGTTATGCACTTTGAATATAGCAGTGTACCACATCTTAACTTTATCCATTCCTGTCGATGGACACTTAGAGGGTAGAGCAGGTTTCTGTAACACAACTTACTCTGAGTCAAGACTGGGGGTCCCATCTAACTGTTAGTGTTGGGTGGTCCTGTCTCTTGTAAACTGTACCAGGCAGAAGGGGCTCAGAACACACAGGCCTCACTGTGGCACTTCGGCGGATTGACTGTTGTACGTTGAAGGCGTTTGAACAACAGCAGGTGCAAGAGGGCCACCGACCTTCCAGCCTTCCTAAAAGCAGGAGATGAAACTCCCAGGTGAACAGTCTTATCACCTGAGGTTGAGGCTGAGAAAAATCTGTGTACATAGACCTTACAATTCCCCATGTGTCCTTCACCTCCTCACCTTATCCCCCTCTGTCCACCAGAGGGTTCCGCTGTCCTGAGTTTCCTGTCAGTATTCCTTTACTTGTGTTTAAAGTTTTGCCACATAGATTTGTATCCCTAAATGATCCATCCTTTAATTTTGCCTGTTTTTGAATGTATATTATATAAATATAATCATGTGATCTTCTGTGACTTGCTTTTTTGTTCAGCATGTTTAAAGAAAATGAGGGTTATCTGTTATCAATGTACAGTCACTGGAATTTCTTTATTTTCACCACTAATTTTCCATGATGTGAATATCCTGTGATTTAGCAATTTGTTTTACTGTTGGCGAGCATTTAGGTGGCTTCTATTTTTTAAAAGTAAGTAATACCAAAAAAAAAAAAATTAATACCGCTACCCTGGAGAAGGAACTGACAACCCACTCCTGTATTCTTACCTGGGAAATCCCATGGACAGAGGAGTCTGGCGGGCTACAGTCCATGGGGCCGCAAAAGAGGTTGGACACAACTTAGCAACTAAGCCGCAGCAGCAACAGCAACACCACTAAGGAGATTCTCGAATGTGTTTCCTGGTGGAGTGTGTTAGAATTTTCCTTGAGCATAAACCTGCGAGTGGAATTACTGGTTGACAGGGTGTGTTGTATGTCTAGGCATGCGTGCATGCTAAGTTGCTTCAGTTGTGTCAGACTCTTTTGCGACCCCATGGACTGTAGCCCGCCAGGCTCCTCTGTCCATGGGATTCTCCATTCAAGAATACTGGAGTGGGAAAAAAAAAAAGAGAATACTGGAGTGGGTAGCCATTCCCTTTTCCAGGGGATCTTCCTGACCCAGGGATCAAACCTGTGTCTCCTGCTTTGCAGGCAGATTCTTTACCGCGGAGCCACCCAGGAAGCCCACATATCTAGGAGTTTATATTAAGTCATTTTCCATAGTGGTTGTACCAGTTTATGTGTGAATTCCACCAGCCTTGTGTGAATTCTCTTTGAATTTGACAGTCATCCTCTGACTGCACACTGTGTGTGTGTGTGTGTGTGTGTGTGTGTGTAGGGGTGATGCTGCCTACCTTGTCCCTGCTCAGTGGAGGAGGAAGTCCAGGCCTCTGAGGACAACAGGAGAGGTGGGGGGGGGTGCCCTGGGGGGGCGCCCCGTGAATGCTTGGTGGAGGTAGGACTCCAGGCTTCACTTGTGTGGAGGCCTGAGTGCTTCTGGGCGGGGATAAGAGTCCAGCCTCCTCACCTGACTTCTCTGACATGACCCTGGGGCGAGAGCGGCCTTGTTACCCCGGAAGGGTTTCCACTTGGCCTGTCCCGTGGGGCTGGGTGGTGCCACAGTTTTATCTGTGTTTTTTGCCTGGAGTAGAATGCTTATTGTTGAAAACTTCTCTGTCTTGCTGGGCTGTGCCTTTCCTATCCTTTGGCCGGAGATCAGCTTTTCTGGGACCTTCCTGTGTGTCCCTGTTGGCATTTCTGGGGTAGCACCCTGTCTGGGATATGTGAGGTCAAAGAAAACCCAGGGGAACCCCCAGATTGTCCTTTCTCAGGGCTTACCATCCCCAGCTGATCTGCCTTCTCTCCATCTTCCAGATTCTTCTCATGTTTGACTTACGTTTAATGCCCAGGGATTCTAGCTGTCCTTAGTGAGAGGCAGAGGCAGAACGGGGTCCGTGTGTCTCATCTAGGAGCTGAGATCTGCCTGGTTTTTATGGAGCGTTCCCTGTCCAGCCTGGAGCAGGGAGCTCGTCTGTGTCACTTGCTGAGGGCTTTGAGTTTCTTGTATCCATCAGGCGGGGACCTGTCGCCGTTGGACCTAGCGGATGTAAATGGAGATGGCCTGCGAGACGTGCTCCTCTCCTTCGTGCCATCAGGGAACGGGAGTGCGGCCGGTAAGAGGGTGGCTTTTGGAGGCCTGGGTGGGAGGAGCTGGTTGATTGGAGGGTGTGAGATAAGGGAGGCATTGGGGTTGTGAGCTGATGGACCTACAGTGAAGAGAAAGCCCTTGGCGATCCCTTGTACCCGATGAGCCTGGTCATCCCTAGATAAGATAAGATACACAGACCCACTTCTGCCTGTGCCTCTCACTAGGGCAGCTAGACTCCCTGGGCATTAAACGTAAGTCAGGTTCACACAGGAGGTTGTGCATAATGCCTGTTTCAGGAAGTCACGGCGAGTGAGAGCTGGAGGGCACTTTCAGCGGCTGCCCTGTTCAGCGGGGACCCTGAGATCTAGAGATGAGGTTTCTTGGCCACATGCCTGCCCTGAATAGCACCAGCACTTAGGTTGCTTGAATTTTCCCTGAGTCAGTACTCCCCAGCCTCTTAGATGATAATAAACATAGGCTCTCACCCCTGGCAGAGAGCTTTTACTGATGTTCTAGCATATCCTTACGCAAGTACGCCTTGCCAGGGTGTTTTCCTCTGACCACCACTGTTTGCTCCTCTGTCTCTGCATCCCATCCTGCTCCCTGAGGGATGAGAAGCGGACTCGTATGCATTAAGTCAGCAGGTTCCCCGGTCTGCAGACTTCCCTTAGGTTTGGCCAGTGGGGAGCACAGGCCAGAAGCTGGAGGAGAGGCAGGGTAACCAGAGGGTATATATTTCCCGGGCTCTCCCCGCTGGGTCTCCTTGATCAGAGGTCACAGTCTGTCTCAAGGTGGTCCTCCTACGGACCTTTTTCTGGCTTCCGAGACTCCCTTCCTCCCCTGTCTCTTGGGCCGTGGAAGTGGTCACAGTTCTGAGGGGCTGTACTATCTCTTGTGATTTCTCTACATCCTGACCACATCTTTATGTCTTTATTAAACCTTCACAACTTACCCTACTTGAGTGGGCTGTTTTTTGGGGGGACCCCAGCTGAGACATGTCAACTGCAGAAACAAAAATGTTACATTTTCAGTATAGGTACATGGGGCCTTTGAATTTGTCCTGCAGTCTTCATTTAAGTGGATTTGAACTGCAGTCTGTAAACTGATATAGTAGCTATGGTTGGAGGCAGACAACGCCCTCCTAGTGCTTCCCAGGAGTCCGCCTACTGATGCATGAGACACAGGAGATGCCAGTTCAGGAGATGTCGGTTCGATCCCTGGGTTGGGAAGATCCCCTGGAGGAGGAAATGGCAACCGTCTTCAGTAGGAGAAAATTGCCTTGAAATTTTCTCTTGCCTGGAAAATTCCATGGCAGAGGAGCTTGGCCCCACTATAGTCCATGGAATCACAAAGTCGGATACAACTGAGTGACTGAGCACATATGCACAGCCTCCTAGTTACTTTTTAATCACTCAGGCCCTGAGATAAAAGTTTAGGTACATTGTAGAGAGCGTTAGAAATATCATCTCAGGGCTTGTGCAATATACAGAAGCAATTTGGGTATAATTTTTTTTTTATGGGAAGAACCTCTAGCCTAGAAGTTGACTTATATGATTGAACTTTAATTATATTTATATATTTTTTCTGCTAATGACTGATCAGCTTTTGAAGCAAAAACTCCTCCCATTCACTTTTTTTTTTTTTCCATTCACTTTTTAGAGATTTTTTTTTTTTGTCATTTGGTATTTCACACGGTTTGCTATATATCAGGACTCAGTGGTAAGGCCATGAGTTTGGACATAAGATGGACCAACCTGATTTGGTTACAGATTATAAAAAATAATAATAAAGTGAACACATGGTACTTTGTATGTGCTATGCACTGTTGTATATACATATCATGAATGGATTTATCCCTCAGTGTTCTGTAAGACAGACTAATGTTATTATCCCTATTTGCAGATGGGAAAAACTGAGGCATAGTGAGGTGAAGGAACTTGCCTGAAGCCCCACAGCTGGCAGTGGTAGAACTGGGATCCAAATCGTACAGCCTGGAGATTCTGGGGAGTTCATGACCTTGACCTTTATGTCAGACTGCTGTACCCGTAACCCCAGCCAGTGGGTTCAAAGATCTGTGCCACTGGACGCGAGGAGGACTGTGTTTCTTATTTGACCTGCTGTGCACCTTACATAGAGCTGCACTGGTTCTGTTGAGCTAACACGGAGAGTGGTCTCTGCCTCAAGGAGTCGTGGCCTGGTAGAGAAGTGATGACCCATCACCACCCAGAAAAAGATGAGTCACACAGTTGACGTGGAGTTGGTAGGGACGTGAAGAGGGAAGGACAGCAAAGTCTGTTAATGAGAGCATCCCTGGGAGGTCTGGGAGATAACATGTATTGCCACGATTTACCATGTAAATTGCTGTTTCTGGCAACAAGGTCTGAAAGAGTGAGCCAGTTTACTTGCTTTTAGCTTGTTTGTTTATTTTCAATTTTTTGACCACATTATGTGGCATGTGGGATCTTCGTTCCCTAACCAGGCATTGAACCCATGCCCCCTGCAGTGGAACCTTGGAGTCTTAACCACTCCATGCCCCCAGTAAGTCCCCTTGGTTGTATATATTTAATTAACAATTTCAAGGACTAGGAACAGTGAAGCTGTAAAACCTACATGTCCAGTCCTTATTAGCTGTTGCTAGAAGTGGGGAAGTGAATTGGGCCGTCTGCCTGTCCTGAAAGTGAATGTGAAACTGGCAAGAGAGAACATGATGCTTCTGATAGGGTTGCTACGTGATGTAGAGGATTGTTGGTTAAAGAAGTGAGCTGCATTTATCCTTTATCAGCCGTCCTTGGACCTCAGTACTAAGTTTGCCCAGGTATTCTTGCCTGCTGGGACCAGATCAGCTGAGTCCATGAAACTCTAGACCAGGGGACCTCCTGATATCATCGGTATGTGTCATCTTCAGGTTTAGTTTTAAAAAAGATTTTTTTCTGCTCTCAGCATTTGCTAGCAGTGATTACAATTCAAGTACTTTGCTCCCTTCTCTCCACATATTCTTCATCAGTCTTAATTTTTGTGTTTTTTGGCCACACCATGCAGCATGTAGGATCTCAGTTGCCCAACCAGGGATCGAACCTGCACCACCTGCATTGGAAGTTCGGAGTCTTAACCACTGGGGCACCAGGGAAGTCCCTAGATCAGTCTTGAATTTTTGAGCATAACCTTGCCTTCTGGGTTTTTTGTTTTGTTTCCAACCACTCCTTTTTCATATTCTTGATTTTGCTCCTTTTATTCAGAAAGCAGTTGGCTGCTTTATGTGCCAGGTGCTTTGCAAAGCACTGAGGATGCAAAAATGAATGTGACAGGCTTTAGCCTTAAGGACATCCCTGCTTAGCAGGAGTAAGGTGACAGACATGTCAATAGACATGTTGTGAGAGTGAAGGTGCACCCAGGTCGCCTGGAGGCGGTCACGGCAGCTCACCTTACATGAGAGATGTGTTGAACAGATGTGACAGGAGCCCCGTTCGCAGACCCTTTTCCCAGAAATATGGGAGGGAGCTGAGCACACAGGTCCTTTAGGTTTTCTGGTCCCCTGCTCGTATCTCCTGCTCATCTTCTTGGCTTCCTGCCTTTGTCGTCTCGTGTGTGCTTTCAGGTGTCTCAGGACCACCTGCTGTCCTCGTGTGCCTTTCGGGGATGAACGGCAGCACGCTGTGGTCTAGTCCCCTCCCCGAGGAGGCCCGGGATATTACCTGTTTGGATCTGACACCAGGGAACCTGGCCAAAACTGTCTGCCTGGTGACGGGGACGCACAAGATGCTCAGTGCATTCAATGGGACATCAGGTAAAGATCGTTGGCCACAAGAGGTCCCTGCTCCTGGGAGCCCTCATCTTAGATTGGAACAGTCTGGTAGGGAAGGGACTGTTCCACTCTCCCATGGTGGGAGGTCTGATCTCCTGCTCAGGAAGGTGGATATTAAGGGAAATAAGAGAAGGGGTTTAAGTAGAGTGTCACATCCATGGTTCAACCTGTTTGGTGATAGGATAGGGCTAAACTGAGTTATACAAACAGAAAGTGCCCCAGGGCTTTCGGTTTTGAAATAATCTCCCTACTGTGTTCTTTGTACAGAAGACAGTGGAGCTTTGTCTCTTTGTATTTGATATAGAAGGATTCACATGTGAGCTTGGTCATTAACCAGTTAAAAATAGGCTAATGAAAAAACTTAAGGTTTATGGAGGTGTGTTGGTTTGGCCTCTTCTCATCTTATCGCATTCAGACATACGTGACAAAAAAGATAGAAAAAAATCAAGTATTATGAAGGCTCCTTACAGAGTCTTACACTTCCAGTGTGCTCCTAACCTTGGACTCAAAGCTGGATAAGTAGCCTCCTTCCTAGGTGTAAAGATTGGAATCTGGGAATGGGGTTCTTCTGAGTGAAAAAAAAATTTTGCTTGTGAGTTAACTCCAGAACTGAAGTCATCTTTTATGGTTTCTCTGCTTCTCTGAACATGTACCAGAAGGAGTGGGTTGGGCTTCTGTTTGGCTGTCCTTGGACAGTTCCTTAGTAGTTGGAATCATCTTTAACAGATCAATTCCTCCATTCCAGACAAGTGAGCTCTTCTTTTTTGAACAGACTTCATCATGTCCGTATTACCTGAAAAACCAGGTGTTGGGTTATTACATGGACTTGATAGCCAGATACTTGCAGATTTCAGTTCACACTCCCTGCTCCCTTTCTCCCCAGCAAGATACAAACTAAAGGGAAAAGTGTGTAGGAGTTTCTGTCTGTCACTTAGCCCATTGAGTGTCTTTTCTGGCCTGGGAGCCTAGCATCTGCCTTTTGCAGAGGCAGAAAGCGCTCGTTGTGATCAGCGTATTTATCCTTCCCCAGGGAAAGCCATGTGGACTTTAAACCCAAACTACTTATCCAACGGGACCCTGGCCGCCCCAGCCGTGGTGCTGCCGGACGTGGACGAAGATGGTGTTAGAGACCTCGCGGTTCTGGCCATTGGGGAATTGCAGGTAAGCGCCACGCACAGTGGTCCTTGTCTCTTACAGGGAAGGCAACTTTGCTCACTTCCTAGGATCATTATTAGAAACGCTGCTTGAAACCACCTCATTAGAAGGGCTTAGCTTTCAATCAGTTCTCTTGGTGAGACCAGGTGAATAGATTGCTAGCATGAACCCATTCACATGGTTCCATTGACGTGCATGGTGAGCTTGGGAGCCAAACAGGTCTGTGTTCGAATTCCCGCTGTACTCCCCTCTGCTCTTGGTAAACCGCAGAGCCTGTCCCAGCTCCGGGTACATCGTATGTAAAGTGGGGATGTTATTCTGCTTGTAGGGTTGTTATGAAAATTAGAACTCACATATTTGAAATGCCTGGAGTGCCTATTTTTCACCAAGAGTATGTATTGTATTGTTGATTTTGCAGTGGAGCTTTGTCTCTTCGTATTTGACATACAAGGCTTGATAATGTGAACTTGGGCATTAACCAGTTAAAAATGTGCCAGTGAAGAAACTAAGGTTTGTGGAGGGCATGTTGGTTTGGCCTCTTATCATCTTATTGCATTCAGATCTACATGACAAAAGGAATGGAAATATATTAATATGTTTAGCTTTTATTGCAACTACAAAACAATGAGACAGACTGATAGAAAGTCCATAGGATGTATACACACACACACACACACACACACACACACACACACACACACACATATATATATATAAAATTACTTTTATTGCAACTACAAAACAATGAGACAGACTGATAGAAAGTCCATAGGATGTACACACACACACACACACACACACACACACATATATATATATATATATAAAATTGTAAGTGAAACAAGTAATAACAACAGGGACCAGAAAAAAAAAGAGTTGTTGTTTAGGCTGTGATTGCAGACTGATTCTGGTACAGTGGTCCCTAAATTTTGCTCCTCAATTTTTGCTTTGTTGGAATTCCAGTGCCGGGCAACTAGTTATTCTCTGCACAGATAAAATAATAGTATGTTCCCTACATCACAGGAAAGAGTATATTAATGGCCAGAATTGTCTCAGTTTTAAGTTTTTGTTCCTGAAGCTTTTCTCAGAACTTCTGTCAGACTTTCTCTTAGACTTTTTCTTGAACTGTCTAGCCTGAATCTGCCTGAAGAGGCTCATGGACAGAAGAATTGAACAATTGGCCAAGAATATTTGTGGACAAATGTGTCTATAGAACATTGTAGCTTATTGTAATTTGGCTAGACCTCATGATTTTTGTAATGCATACATGGAACGGAGTTATTGGTACAAAATGTGCAAGTGAAATTATTTAGAATGGAATTAAATTTGTCAGTACTTTATGGTTTTTTGTCAAGAGCACCATAAACTAATTCAGAGTGCCCTTCCAGTCACAAGTTTCGGGAGCCCTGCTCTAGTACCTCAGATGATACTTTTATGTTCATGAGATGAGAGAAAAGAAGACAGATCGTGAGGGAAATTTCCAAAGATGAGCCACTTTAAGGGGTCCTTTCTGTTTGTTTTTCTTCACCTGGCCAGTTGGGCTCGGAGAAGTTTGAACCAAAATGTCTGGAATTCTGCACATAATCTTTTTTCATTCTGGTCGCTGTGAATAAAGAGATTGGGGAGTTGGGAACATTTTAACAATTCCATTCATCAGGGAGTGAGTCTCAGAAGGTTCATCTGTCAGAGAGTGGAAAGTATGGGTAGTTTTTTTTTTTTTTTTAAGGAATTATGGTTGTTAGCAGAAGCACAGCGAAACATTGAACAGATTTACATGTCCCGGACAAGGTTATAAATCTTGGCCTTGACTCCTCCATCTGGCTTCTTACCAGCAGTGGTGGACAGGATGATGGCTTAGACTTGACTGAGGGACCCTCCATTGTGAGGAGGCTGTCTTAGAAGAGTGACTTCTCTTCTACTCCTACTCTGTGCCTTCATTTCTTTTCTTGGTGGTAGGGGTATGGGTATAGACCAGTCTCCATTCTGTCTGGAAAGTGTAGGTAGGAGTAGCAGAGTCTTGGAGAAGTGGTGGGTTCAGAGCCATTGCTTCGTCTTCATACTGACCTTTCTGACTTCTATACCAGCGACAAAGAACCTGAGGAACATGCTTGCTGTCCGCTGTAGACATGGGACTGAGGCCTGTCAGGTCTTTGACTTTGAGGGGTGGCATTCTTAGATCTGGGCTTAGAGTAAGGCGGCCTTGGGATGTCTGGACCTGGCTGGGGTTAGAGAGCGCATCTGGGCTAGCACGTCAGAGGAAATGGACCTTGGAAGCCATGACATTAACGTGCTCACACTGTGCTGTTGGACAGTATCTCTCACTGATACACTGTTCCAGACAAATGGGCAGTCATAACCTCTGAGTCCTCAGGCTGATGGCAGTAGCACTGATTTGTGGCATAGTTCATTTCATTCTTGGTGCACTCTAGAAAATTCTGTCTTACGGGTGAGAAATCTGCTTTCTCCTGGCTTCCATTCATTGCGCCCACATCAGCCCGTAGAATGCTCTGAATGAATCTAATCCTCTTCTACATGAACGCTCTTTTGCTGGAAGCCTGGTTCCTCCAAAGCCTGCTACTGTCAAGCCTGAAAAAAAAGAGAAAGTGTTAGTCGCTCAGTCGTGTCTGACTCTTTGTGACCCCATGGACTGTAGCCCGCCAGGGTTGTCTGTCCGTGGAATTCTTCAGGCAAGGATACTGGAGTGGATAACCATTCCCTCCTCTAGGGTATCCTTCCTGAACCAGGGATTGAACTCAGGTCTCCTACATTTCAGGCAGATTCTTTACCGTCTCAGCCACCATGGAAGCCTAAATAGCTAGTTTCCCATACTGTTCCTCATGCAACGTGATCCAGACCTGCCGGGGTCCAGCCTTGGCAGGATCCAGGGGGTACCCTCAGGATGAACGGCGTCAGCGAGAGATAGAAGACACGTGAGCCCAGCCTTGATAGGGCCCAGTCTGTGAAGGAGAGAGAGAGAGAGAGAGAGAGAGAGAGAAAATGACTAGACGGGGGTGCAGAGAGTCTGGCAGAGTCTGGCAATGCTTTATTTTTTACCATAGCTTTTATACCCTAAGTTAGTACATTTCTAAGGGGAAGATAGTTTAACATTACATCAGCTTCCTTCACAAAACCAGGGTGTTTTCTGCATACTTCTTTGTTTATGAGGGTCTTGTACATTATCTTCTGGCCTTGGGGCCTATTGACATTTTTGCAGGTCAGGTGAATGTAAGCCTATTTTCTGTTTTCTATGGTGACCTTAACTGAAAGGTAGGAGTCTCATAGGGAAATAGTACAGAGTAGAAGTATATTCTTGTTAACACAAAAATTAATCCTTCTGCAAAGGTTGTCAGTTGCGTTTATCTAAGAAGTTTACCCCATACTGACTCTGCGACTTCGGTGAGGCAGCTTCTGCCTAGCACTCCTGGCTGACAATTAACAACCATCTCGTTGTTACCACACTAGGGCTAAGTTCTTATTTCTCTAGATCTTTAACTATATTAACAATGGTTTCTATAACACAACCTTAGCACATTAAAAGCAAAAACACAGCAAGCAAAACAGAGCAAGCAAACGTCAACCCAATAACCACCTTTAGAATAATTTTTNTGAAAACAGTATTCTGTTTGTAATATAGCCAGTTATATCAAATAAGGAAATTGTTAACTTTTTCTGATATTGACTGCATATATCTCTAAATGCAGCCAAAGATGGTGAGAGCCTTCCTGTTTTTGTTTATAATCAGTTAAAACACCCATATCTTTCCCACTACTTCTTTCTTTGTTTTTTCCTTCCAGTTTTATTGAGATATAGCTGACATAATAGCACTGTATAACTGACATATAGCACTGGTTAAGGTGTTACAGCAAAATGATTTGACTTACATACATCACAAAATGATGACCACAATAAGAGCATCCGTTACCCCATACTGATGCAAAATTAAAGAAATAGAAAAAATTTTTCCTTGTGATGAAAACTCTTAGGATTTATTCTCTTAACTTTCATATATGACTTATAACTGTTAATTATATTTATTATGTTGTACATTACATCTCTAGCACTTATTTGTCTTATAGCTGGAGTTCATCAGTTTCAACCACCTTCCTTCAATGCCCCCTCCTCCCACCCCCTGCCTCTAGTAACTGTGAATCTGATTTCTTTTTCTATGAATTATTTTTGAAGTATAATATAATTAACCTGCAACAGTATGTTCCTGGTGTACATCATACTGATTTGATATTTCTATATATTCAAAATGATCACCACAGTAAGTCTTGCTACCGTGAAATGTCCATGTCTTTTAATTAATGGGCCGATTTTTTCTTCCAGATTTTGGCCCATCTTCCAACCTAAGACTTTTTGGAATTTTTCGGTTTGTCATACAGCATACTAGCTATCTCTCTCAGCTTTGCGATAAACCTGAATTCTGTTCATTCATGTCTTTGATAAAAGAATGAATAATAGGAATAAGATAATAGCTGGGTGAGGTGACATTCCACTAAAACCTCCCTCTGGGTTGGCGTGGCCCCTTCTCAGGATACACTGAGAGCCATATCTCTTTATCTTGTCCATAAATATTTTTGACAATAAACTCTGTCAAAAGCTTTACTGAAATCAAGACAGCAGTGTAGCCCTTGTATTTCTCAACCAGTGCCTCTATTCCCAAAAGAAAACCCTGTCATACAGGGGTTGGCAAACCGTGGCATGCAGGCCAAATTTGGCCCACTATTTGTTTTTGTAAATAAAGTTTTATTGTTACACCTATTCATTCACATATTGTCTGTGGCTGCTTTTATACTAGAGTGGTGGAGTAGGATAGTTGCTGCAGAAACTACCTGGCTGGTGAAACAAAATATTTACTGTCTTACCCTTCCCAGAGAAGGTTTGCTGATCTCCGTTTGAGAGTGAGGTCGATAGTGGCCAGGCCAGACATGTGTGTTATAAAGGGAGCACATGGCCTGCACTGATTCTCGTGGGACCAGATATTGCTGGGGATTTATGGGTATAGGGGTGGGTAGTGACTGGTGGGTCCTGGATTTAGCTCTAGGCTAGAGTTCTATGCTTCAGGAGACTGCTTCTCAGCAACAGCTGTGCTTTGGAGAAATTGCCCAAGTCACCGTGCAGGTGCCCTTGGCTTATATCTAACAAGGGAATGGGGCATTTGCTTCACTTTCTCACTTCCCGGGAAATACAGCAAAGCAGGTGTGGCCTTGGGCTTTTTAACTTTGGGAGGTGTTTCTGACCCCCTTAGCTAACAAGAAGGAATGCCTATGGAGAAATGACTCGATTCGGTAACAACAGGGTTTCTATGGGCTCAACCCTGGTCTTTCACTTTTATCAGCCAGATCTGTGTTTTCTGCTGGTGTCTGGCCGGACAGGGAGCCCCGTGGGCCGACCTGTGAAGTACAACATCGTGGGAGTGGGCAACCTGATTGGCCCTCAGGTTTACATCACCACCAGCGGGGCCGCCTACATCCTGTTTGGCTTTGGTAAGAAGCGAGGCTCGTTTTTGCTGCTGTCCCCATGGGTGTGTGGTGAGGTCTCCCTGGGCGGTGGGGAGAAAGCCTGGAGTCGCTGACACCAGCCCTCTGTCACCTCCTCTGCCGGGGACCCCCTGCCACAGGGTATTCACGCTGCTGGCCCTGGCTGCTTTCTCCAATGAGAAGGCTGCTCAGCGTCTGCTTAGCCACCTCCGTACTGGCCCCCTGTGTGAATACATCCCTCCGCCCAGGCTCTGGGTCTCCCACTCCTATCCTTCCCCTGGGAAAGTTCTTTGGAGTTCAGCTTCTCCATGTCGGTTCTTCTGTGCTGTTAGGTAATATCCAGGCTGTCGCCCTGCGGGATATTTTCGTTCAAGCCCAAAATCGAGACAGCTTACCACCTTCCCTGCAGATAGAGGAACCTGAGTGGGAGAAGCGGAGATCCGTCAACCTGTCTGAGCTCATTGATGTTTACAGGTGGGCAGCCGTCTGGTCCTGCCATGGTGAGACCCGAGCCCATGCATGCCTGGAGTATCAGTGTCTGGTGGGCTGGCAGACGCGTGGGCTGAGGTTTGAGGGGAAAATGGTGCCTGGCCTTCATGGACCACCTCCCGATCTGGTTGCAGGGAGTTAGAAGTACTCTTCTCCTGGCGAAATAATGTATTGATGTCTGTGTGTGGATGATCACTTTGCACACAGTTGGCAGAGAAGGGTATTTGTTTGGAGTGGGAATCAGAGCGGGGCAGTTGAGACCAGGGAACCTCAGGTAGGGAAATGGATTTATTTAACAGAACTGCTTGTAAAACTCTCCTGAAGGATCATTCCTTCTGTATTCCTGTGTTTTTCTCTTAAAGAATCATTGTGGCAGAGGCAAAAGTAACATCCATGAAATTTTTTTTTTGTTTTTTTTCCCCTCATTTTTTTCTTAACTAAAAGCATGTTATTTGTCATATGCGGTGGATGTTATCCATTTAACCCTGGGCCTGGGTAATAATTATCTTTGTTATTTTTCAACGAGAAGCTTCATATCACTTTCTAGCATTTTCTTTGTTGTTGTTTAGCGCTAACTTGTGTCTGACTCAGTCCTGTCCAACTCTTTGCAACCTCATGGACTATAGCCCACCAGGCTCCTCTGTCCATGGGATTTCCCAGGCAAGAATGCTGGAGTGGGTTGCTGTTTTCTTCTCCAGGGAATCTTCTCCACCCAGGGATTGAGCCCATGTCTCCTGCATTGCAGGCGGATTTTTCACTGCTGAGCCACTGGGGAAACCCAACATTTTCTTAGACAGTATCATATTGTGTCAGTGCATTTGACAGATGTTAAATAGTATGGTCCCAGTTGTACAGAGTAAGAAATATTGGGCCGGCCAAACAGTTCATTCACGTTTTCCCTTAAGATCTTACAGGAAAAACCCAGATGAACTTTTTGACCAACCCAATAATTTGAAGTGTCAAGTGTGAGCTGGTGCTGAAACTCTAATACTTTGGCCCCCTGATGGGACGAGCCAACTCGTTAGAAAAGACTGTGATGCTGCGAGAGATTGAGGGCAGGAGGAGAAGGGGGCGACAGAGAATGAAATGGTTAAATAGCGTCACTGACTCAATGGACTTGAGTTTGAGCAAACTCCCGGAGATGCTGAAGGACAGGGAAGCCTGGCACGCTGCAGTCCATGGGATCGCAGAGTCGGACATGACTTAGTGACTGAACAACAACAACGATGAAGGTGTGAGCTGCTCTCCAGGCTTAATGACAGTTCCGGGCATGCTGTCCTGATCCCTGACTCCTTCCTTGTCATTGTTCTTGGCTCTGTTATCTTTTCAGAACATCCAGTGTGAGAGGCACTTCTCCTGTCTGTTCCTTCTGAAATTGCGTGAATTCTCTAGGACTCCTTGATTTCTAAAGAAACCAGGAAAAAGAGATTCAAATGAAACAGCAGGAGTGCCCCTCTTTTAAAAAAAATTTTTTCCTAGCCACACCATGTAGCGTGTGGGATCTTACTTCCCCTACCAGGAAGCAAACACGTGTCCCCTGCATTTTAAACATGGAGTATTAACCACTGGACCACCAGGGAAGTCCCAGGAGCACCCCTCTTGACAACACACTGGTAGGAGACGAACACAAGGGCCTGTACAGACATNTTTTTTCCTAGCCACACCATGTAGCGTGTGGGATCTTACTTCCCCTACCAGGAAGCAAACACGTGTCCCCTGCATTTTAAACATGGAGTATTAACCATTGGACCACCAGGGAAGTCCCAAGAGCACCCCTCTTGACAAGACACTGGTAGGAGACGAACACAAGGGCCTGTACAGACATGTGCAGCTAGAGGATTAGCCAGAATATGTGGGCAGGAATCTCACTGCAGCCTGAGACTAACTGTCGGGGTTTCTCGTTTAACTCAGCAATGGGGTAGAACTCCTTCAGATGGTGAAGGCGCCGGATTCCAACAGCAGCAACCTCCTGATCACAACCAGACAAGGCCTTGTCCTGCTTCGGGGGCAGAACCTCACCCCTTCCTGGGCTTTGGGCGTCCAAGGCCTGCGCAGGTTAGTGATGTGCACCTATTCACTCAAAACTGCCCAGAACCATTGCTTAATGTGACTATCTGGAGCTGGTGCAAGGGGAGTGGGGGGTCCCATTCTCCCCTTTTGGTTCTTCACTTCCCATCACTCACGTTGCTCTCACTTGCAGCCAGCCTACTCCAGGGTATTTCACGGATGATGAGACGATAGACTTCCTTCTGCAGATACCGAACGGAGTTGGGATGAAAAAGGTAAAACCTGGGGATGAACATCAGTCAGAACACATATCCAGGATGAACTTGGTGTCCAGGCCTGCGCTTGGCATCATGAAAAATAGGAAGAACCTTACAACATGGTCCCTTCCTTCCAAGATCTCCAAGTGCAGCCGGATGGGTAAAATGAACAGTCACATGCTAACATCTACAGCAGCAGAAGCTTTTCTCGCTGCCCAACTCCTTGTGTAGCAGTTCCTTGTGGATTCTCAGTGTCCAGGTACTTTCTGAAGTCTCTTGCTGGGGAAAGGCAGGTATCACTAAATGTACCACTTCAGTTTCTATACTGAGATTTCAGAGAAGCTGGGCCAGCTGGGGCGATGGGTTGTCATGGAGGACTTCACGAAGGAGGGAAAGGTGATCAGGGCCTGGCAGTTGAGTTGCACGTCTAGAAGAGGGGCAGATCCACTCAGGAGCTCCAGAAGCCCTGAGACGGACGGTGGAGTGTATTCCAAGGTCACCTGTGTTGTTGTTGTTTGGTCGCTAAGTCGTGTCTGACTCTCTGCGACCCCGTGGACTGTAGCCTGCCAGGCTTCTCTATCCATAGGATTTCCCAGTTAAGAATACTGGAGTGGGTTGCCATGTTCTCCTGTAGGGGATCTTCCCGACCCAGGGATCGAAGCCAAGTCTCCTGTGGCTCCTGCATTGCAGGCAGATTCTTTGCCCGCTCAGCCATCAGGGAAGCCCCTGGGATTTTGGCAAATGAGAAGCTATTTTGTTCTAGAACTGTGCACTATGAGGGATTTGGGGTGATGAGGAAATATGCATGCAGCCAGGAATTTTGAATTTCCCCTTAATTCTACAACTGAGATAACAACTGAGTGACTTTTCTCTTAATTTATTTTTTTTGCCTGTTGGGAGTTTGCTCTTTTAAATTTGAGGCTCCCCATGGTCTGAGCTGCACCTCCTAGGACGCACATGGCAGAGTCAGACTCGAAAGCTTTAGCACAGGGGATAGGACTGAGCTGTCCTGATCATGTTCCCCTAACTGTGGTTGGCCATGGTCACCCGCGGGAAGGGACAGAGACGAGGCGTGGGTTTTAGCTCCTCCACAGCAGAATGGCTGCTCCGCCCAGGACCGCCCCAAGTCCAGGGTAATCTGTGTCACTTCGTGTCTCTGAGCCTCCATTTCCTCATCTAATGATGAGAGGAAGCCTCCATGATTTATAATGTCCCTTCCCACCGGGAATTCTGCAGTCCTTTAGGCTCCGTCTAGACTCCCAGTTGTGTTGGTCGGTTGCTAAGTCATGTCCGAATCTTTGTGGCCCCATGGACTGCAGCACACCAGGCCCCCGTCCCTCTCTGTCTTCCAGAGTTTGCCCAAGTTCATGTCCTTGTCCAGACTCCTGGACCTAGTTGTTACATAACGCTCCTTGAACACCCCATTGTTTGCATCTGATTTAAGCTCCACCTGTTAATGTATGTGTGGTTTGCGTGTCTGTGGGTTTTTGTCTGGTTTTGTGTTTGTGTGTTCTGCTGTCTCTCTGAGGACGGGCCGTACTCATCGCCTTCTCTTCTACAGGTGATGGTGGTGGACGGAGACTCTGGCCTGGTCACGTGGAGTTACAGCATCCCGTGTCACATGAAAGAAACTCCGGCCACGTCAGCAGCCACTGTGGAGCAGAAATCTGTCTTCCTCTTCTGGGCTGAAGGGCTGTCAGCTGCATCACCCAGTCCCGTGAGTGAGCCTAATGTCAGATGGCACCTGCTCTTGAGGCTGACTGGGTCTGGAGGTCTTAATAGACCTGCTGTCTTCCGAGCGGTTCTGGGTAGAGACAGTGACCTGGATGGGTGGGAAACCCAGAAGGGCAGGCGTGTGTGTGTACATAAGGCTGATTCGCTTCACCGTGCAGCAGAAACATCTCAACGTTGGGAGGAAACCAAGTTGGTGTTCCTAGTCATTAAGTCATCTCTGTCTCTCTGTCCGTCGGCTGAAGATGAAGGTTCCCCTGGGGGGTCACAGGAGAGATGTTCTGATATGCAGAAGGCAGATTTGAGAACAGATTTCTTTCTGATTTAATTAGTTACTTAATATTTGGCTGTGCTGGGTCTTCGTTGCTGTGCGGGCTTTTTTCCAGTTGCAGCGAGTGGACGCTGCTCTCTAGTTGCAGTGGCTTCTCCTGTTGCAGGGCGTGGGCTCGGGGGTGCGCGGGCTTCAGTAGTTGCAGCACGTGGACTCTGGGTTCCCGGGCTTGAGAGCGCACATTCAGAAGGTGTGGTGCATGGGTTCAGTAGTTATGGTATCTGGCACGTGGGATCTTCCCAGACCAGGGATCGAACCCACATCTCCTGCATTGGCAGGCAGAGTCTTCACTCCTGAGCCACCAGGGAAGCCCTGAGAACATCTTCAGTACTGTCCTGAGAGGCTTGAATGGGGTTGAGGAGATGGGGGGCTGCCTCTGCCAGGTGCCAGGGGGTTTTGAGTAAGACTCACTCTGATTTAGTTCAGTTAAACCCAAGTTGACCAGCACCTACTGTGTGCCAGGGACCTCAGGGTAAACTGGGGACAGTGCTGCCCTCTGGAGGACAAGCAAATGATCCTGGGTGATGGGGAACCTGACGGAGGGGCAGTCCTGAGTTCATCAGCGATGCACTCTAGGACTTACCTTTGCTGAGTCTCAGGCTCTTTAGCCGTTAATGCAGATGCTAATATAGTCCCTCGCTTTAGGATCAGATTTCCAGTGATGATTGTCCTAACTCTGAAGTCCCCTGACATGTGACCGTGGACTTTCTACCTAACATTTAACTTCCTGGTTTCCTCATTTAATAAAATGAGGGACTCAGACCAGATGACTCTCAAATGTAAGCGTCTACAAATAAGCACAAAACAAAAGCAGGTTACAAATGCTCTAAGGAGGGGCAGATACAAAGTCTAGAGGGAAGCACAAAAGGAGGAGGGTCTTCGTTTTGTGGAGAGGGACGGTGATTAGGGAGCTTTCCACGAAAGAGGTGGCATCGAGTTGGAGACCTCATGACAAGAAGTGCTTTAATGTGGAAATGGCTCTTGAGGAGGACGTCCAAGGGGAAATGAGATTGGCCAAGGACAGGTAAAGCCTAGTGAAGTGTGAGTTTGTTTCCCAGACCTTGGAGCATGGATGTGCAGGCAAATGATCATAGGAGGCTGGGAAAGGCTGATTTGAGTTAAATGGTGTAAGACCTTGGTTTTCATGCAAAGGAGTTTGGGCTCCATTCTGTAGGCAGTGAGAAAGGACTTTGGCTATGTCCCTTCTTTTTTTTTTTTAAACTTTTAATTTTATATTGGAGTGGTGCTCATGGTAAAGAACCCGCCTGCCAATGCAGGAGATGCGAGAGACCCGGGTTCAATCCCTGGGTCGAGAAGATCCTCTGGAGAAGGGCACAGCAACCCGCTCCAGTATCCTTGCTTGGAGAATCTCATGGACAGAGGAGCCTGGCGGACTACAGTCCATGGGGTTGCGGAGAGTCGGATACGACTGAGCAGCTAACACTTTCACTTTCACATAGGTGATTAATAATGTGTTAGTATCAGGTGTACAACAGAGAGATTCAGTTATACGTATACTTGTATCTATTCTTTTTCAAATTCTTTTCCCATTTAGGTTGTTACAGAATGTTGAACAGAGTTCCCTGTGCTATACTGTACACCCCTGTTGGTTATGCTTTTTTTTTTTTTAATAACTTTTTATATTGGAGTCTAGCCAGTTACCAATGTTGTGATAGTTTCAGGTGGACCGCAAAGGGACTCAGCCACTCATGGTTATCCATTTAAAATATAGCAGTGTGTCCATGTCAGGCCCAAACTCCCTAACTGTCCCTTCCCCCTAGCCTTCTCCCCTGGTAACTTAGGTGTTTGTGATGTGAATAAGCTATTTTCTTGTCATCTGAGCTGCCCATGGTGCTGGAATCCTGGATACGGGAAAGCCCTCTTCTGCTTTGTGGGTGCTGGTGGGCGCGGGGTTGTGAGCTTCCCGCCCAAGTGACCGCTCCCCTGCTGACAGTAAAGGAGCTGGGCTGGCAGTCACTCCACATGGTCCCGGAGGGGAGGTACTGGGTGACCCATTCATGGGGTTCCTGTGCTCTGCGGTCTTGTGTCTGCAGAATATCAACCTTGAGTGGAGTCAGATGGTGAAGAAAGTTCCGATGTGCATTGTTTCTGCCTTAGGGGGTCAGGAGATGGACACTGAGCTCTGAGGATTTTTGTTTCTGTAATTAATGAGTGTCTGATCCATGTCTTAGTTATTTTAGGAAAAGATAAGATTTTTGTGATTTTTTTTTTTTTTTTAGCTTGACACTTGCAGTTGGCTTTGCTGTCTAGTGAAAGCAGGGGTCTTTGGTTCACCGTGTTTTCATAAGCAGGCTTTCCCTTGACAAAGCCCCTCCTGCTGCCAGGGAAGAACCGTTGCTGATACTCTCAGAGGCACCAGACTGCGAGGGCGCCATCGTTTTCTCTCCTGGGCCATGCCTATTTCCTTTCTTCCTTTCTTTTTCCTATAAGGGAGAAAGCATTTTCCAGCTCTGGTGGTTTGACGAAGTTAGTCTTTAGTCACTGTTTTGAGATTTGAAATGACATGTCTCTCATACGTGGGAGTTTCACACACGCCCTGGTGTGGGATTGGGGCTTGGCCTCGTAGGGGATGAGTAACCCCCACCGTCTCTGCCGTCCTTTTATCTGAGCAACGTTGTACGAGGGAGTGTGGACTGACCTTTGCTCTCCCTGTTTCTCGTTGTCAGGGTGTCCTGGGAAGCGAGCCACCCAGCCTTCACCACCTATACCTCCTGCATCCCACCTTCCCCTCCATCCTCCTGGATCTGGCCAATGCCACTGGCACTGTGACAGCTTCAGAGGGTAAGTCCAGGGGGTGATGCAGAGGAGGGGAGGGGACTTGCTTCCTGGGTGAGGGGGATGAGGGTGTGTGCTGTGGGTCCCAAGCGGCTCCCTGCATTGAGCGACTCTGCATTTCCCTTGGTACCATGGCGCCTGGGGCCATTGCCCAAGAGTGCCCTCTGGGGACCTGGCTTACAGGGTGAGGACCCACAGTCCCTGAACATGCTAGAATGCGAGAGGCTACGGGGCAGTGCTGTCCCATCCCCAAGGGTTCAGGGAGCTAATGTTTCGGCAGCCGTTTACCAATCATCAACCATGGGCCAGGCACTGCGCCCAGTGCTGGGAATACAAATCAGAGTGGTTCTCAAGCCTGTAGGAGCTTCGGAGCCAGAACTCACTGCAAAGAATAAAACAGAGGCAGGATATTCCTCAGGGCATCTGTTTAGGCTCAGTGCATGCTCAATCATGTCCGATTCTTTGCGACCTCGTGGACTGTAGCCCTCCAGGCTCCTCTGTCTATGAGATTTCCCAGGCAAGAATACTGGAGTGGGTTAGGCTCAGTAGAGACTTTCTTACTGCACGTGCCCAGCGCATGGAAACTGGCGCCAAGAGGAAAAGGGAAGAAGAAAAATCACCTGCCATCTGACCACTCATGACCACCGTTAACATTTGCAAGTGTTCTATTTCATGTTGTTGTTCAGTTGCTAAGTTGTGTCCAACTCTTTGCGACCCCATGGACTGCAGCACACCAGGCCTCCCTGTCCATCGTCAACTCCCAGGGTTTGCTCCAATTCATGCCCACTGAGTCAGTGATGCTGTGCAACCATTTCATCCTCTGCTGCCCTCTTCTTCTACCCTCAGTCGTTCCCAGCATCAGGGTCTTTTCCAGTGAGTCAGCTCTTTGCATCAGGTGGTCAAAGTATTGGAGCTTCAGCTTCAGCATCAGTCCTTCCAATGAATATTGAGGACTGATCTCCTTTAGGATTGACTGGTTTGATCTCCTTGCAGTCCAAGGGACTCTCAAGAGTCTTCTCCAATACCACAATTCAAAAGCATCAGTTCTTTGGTGTTCCAGCCTTCTTTGTGGTCCAGCTCTCACATCCATACATGACTACTGGGAAAACCATAGCTTTGACAGTGCTGACCTTTGTCAGTAAAGTGATATCTCTGCCTTTTAATACACTCTCTAGGTTTGTCATAGCTTTCCTTCCAAGGAGCGAGGATCTTTTAATTTCATGGCTGTGGTCACTGTCCACAGTAATTTTGGAGCCCAGGAAAATAAAATCTGTCACTGCTTCCATTTTTCCCCCTTCTTTTTGCCATGAAGTGATGGGACCAGATGCCATGATTTTAGTTTTTTTAATGTTGAGTTTCAAGCCAGATTTTTCACTCTCCTCTTTCAACCTCATCAAGAGGCTCTTTAGCTCCTCTTTGCTTTTTGCCATTAGGGTGTCATCTGCACATCTCAGGTTATTGATATTCCTCCCAGCAGTCTTGATTACAGGTTGTGATTCATCCAGCCTGGCATTTTGCATGATGTACTCTGCATATAAGTTAAATAAGTAGGGTGACAGTATACAGCCTTGTTGTACTCCTTTCCCAATTTTGAACCAATCATTGTTCCAGTGAACATTACATAATGGTAATTAAGAATCGAGACCATTTTTATTGCAACCCCTGGTTTATAGATGAGGCAGAATAAACACTAGTTTGGTACATAGCTTAGGCCACGAGGTCCTGACAATCTAGGAGTTACCAGAATTTCTAGTTTGCTGCGCTCCCTTTTCTACCACAGTTGGCCAGTCCCCTCACTTCCTGATCTTGGGCTTTCTCAGAGATAGCTTTGGGACTTAGCTGGTAGCTCAGTGTAAAGAATCCACCTTGAAATGCAAGGGACATGGGTTCGACCCCTGGTCAGGGAACTAAGATTCCACATGCCATGGAGCAACTAGGCCTGTGTGCCACAGCTACTGAAGTCTGTGCGCTGCAACTAGAGAGTCCATGGGCCACAACTAGAGAGTCTGTGTGTTGCAATGAAAGATCCCATGAGATCCAACGCAGCCAAAATAAATAAATTATTAAGAAAAAAAGGTAGCCGCTTTGGAGAAGCACAGGTATAGAGACAGAGAATTTGCCGCTTTGCTGGCCACCAGCTGCTCACCAATGTGCACCCATTGTCTAGTCGGTACCTTGTGTTGATTAGTGCTCAGTAAACATCTTGTATGAATCAGCAAAGGAGGAAATGAGTGAATGAGTCTTGAGCCCAACCTCTCTCCTGTGAGCCCAAGTCTTCTGTCCTCACTGACTGCTCTCCTTTATATCCTTCTTCAGTTGGGATCAACGACCTGTGGAAAGATGCCTTTTACGTTACCAGGACAACAGGGCTCAGCTCCGAAGGGCACCCGGCCCCCCTGGTGGTCAGCAAGCTCAGTTTGCGGTGGGCACTGATGGAAGGCCAAATGGTCCAGCTGGAGGAGACTACCCCCAAAATCGGCCGTGGGGAGCTGCGCAGATTCCTCTCGAGGATAAAGTTCGTCGACTCTCCCTACCAGGTGACAAGCTTGGGAAAGAAAGTGTGTGGTTACTCTTGAGGGTGAAGGGCAAACACAACCAACTCCAAGTCTGCTCTTTAGAAGGTCAAGGGTGCGGGTGGGCACCTTCTTGAGTTGCTAGGTATCAGGAAACAGCTGTTTTGGACCAGCATGATTTCACAGGGGTGAGTGATGACCTTGTACTACTGCTTGGTTGTTCTGAGCTGGAAATGGTACCCTCTGTCTCAGAGGAGACATTTGGTAGTGGGGGGTCATGGCTTTTACTGTTACTCTGGGTCTTTTCTGGGTAAGGCTGGTGGTGCCAGCCTCGTGCAGGGCTTGTGGCAGTTAGCTACTGTGAAGAACTCTGATGGTTGTTGTTGAATTGCTGAGTCATGTCTGATTCTTTGACTGCGTGAACTGCAGCACGCCAGGCTTCCCTGGCCTTCACCATCTCCCGGAGTTTGCTCAAACTCATGTCCTTTGAGTCAACGATGCCATCCAACCATCTCATCCTCTGCCGGCCTCTTCTCCTCCTGCCCTAAAGTCTTTCCCAGCATCAGGGTTTTTTCCAGTGAGTCAGCTCTTAGCATCAGGTGGCCAAAGTATTGGAGCTTCAGCTTCAGCATCAGTCCTTCCAATGAATATTCAGGGTTGATTTCCTGTAGGACTGACTGGTTATCTTGCTCAAAATGCACCCCGTGCCCTCCCTCAATACAACAGCCTAGTCCAATGTTCAAGAATGTATAGTGGAAAAAGATTAAGTCTCTGGACCTTTCTGGAGGGACACTTGTAAACTTTGGAGGCTAAACAAAAGGATAGGGAAATAGAGGGATATTCTGACCTTGAGAGTCCTTCCATGTCTCTACCATGGAAAAAATTAAAGTCACTGATTTGTGCCCTTTTCTCCCTAGATCTAGGCTGCTGGACTCTTCGGTTCCAGAAGAAGTGAATGGAGTGGCCCTGTCCCTCCCCAGCGGGGGTAAACATAGTTCTTTGGAGAGGAGGTCCACCTCCTCTGTGTGACCGTCGCCAGGCACTTGGAATTCTTCGATAACAGCACCACCTGTTCGGCTGGGGTATCTTACCTGCCCGCCCAACCCCTGAATTAACCCCTTCTCCTAGGTACTCTGTGTGGATAGTTTGGAACTGTGAATCTTACTGTTTTATTTTTTGTTTGTCTAATTTATGAACCCTGGCTGGGAAATTCCAGTGAAGTCCTTCCCTGGAATGTTTTGCTGTGCCTAATGCCCTGAGCGTGTATCTGTCTGTTCGTGTGGTGATGAAGTCTTTTCTAGATACGCACATCCTAAGCTCCCAGGGACCCAGGTTCTCAACTGTCTGAAACACATCTTGTTGGTTTGGGTCCTCTTGAGACAGGTGGCCGACCTCGACTTGGAGGGCCCCTCGGCATCTCTCCTCTTTTCTCCCCCTGCTGGTACCCCGCCTGCCCCCTGACCTTGGCAGCAGCAAGACTGACATGGGGATAGCACGAGCCAGCCAGAATTCTCATTTCTTCCTCGTCTTACGGCTCCTGTCTCTTGTCTCCTCACATATTCCTTCTTTCTAGATGTAGTGACCATAACAATTAACCCTGATTGGTGTGGGGTGATACCTCATTGTAGTTTTGATTTGCATTTCTCTAATAATGAGTGATGTTGAGCATCTTTTCATGTGTTTATTGGCCATCTATATGTCTTCTTCCTGGGAAAGACTAAAGGCAAAAGGAGAAGAGGGCGGCAAAGGATGAGATGGTTAGATAGCATCACTCACTCAATGGACATGAATTTGAGCAAGGAGATAGTGGAGTACAGAGAAGACTGGTGTGCTGTAATCCATGGGATTGCGAAGTCAGACACGACTTAGCAACTGAACAACAACAACATATCTTCTTTGGAGAAATGTCTGTTTGGGTCTTCTGCCCATTTTTTGATTGGGTTGTTTTTTGAGCTGTTGAGCTGTGTGAGCTGCTTACAGATTTTGGAGATTAATCCTTTGTCAGTTTCTTTGTTTGCAATAATTTTCTCCCATTCTATCAGAAGGGGAGCAAAAGTGGTTTAAATACCCCTCCCTCCCTCCACGCCGCCACCAACAAGGTCCAGAGGTTATGTCTCAGTTGATATCGTTCTGCCAGTCATGGTCATTTTTATCATGTTTACTTCGTATGTACTTATGTGTATGACATCCTCAGCTTAGAGGAAAACTCAAGTCAGGAACGACTGAGGCAGGCAGCCTCAGCCCCCTTCATCTCCACTCTGCTTTCTCAGCATCTCCTCATGGGCATCTTCCCTTCTGCTCTTTTATTCAGGGATATTTCTGCTTTGCTTGCACGAGAGCCAAGCTGTTTCTGGACTTTGATTCTGGCTCCTTGAGCCCAGCATGCAGCCATTCTGCCGTGTACCCTTCTCTTGCTTGTAGAGCCCTTGAAGCAGAGTATTTTGAGAAAATGTCTCTGTAAATACTATAGCTTTTATAAGTGGTGAAATTCTTTAGAGTTATCTCTAGTGCTTACTTCCTCCTTCTTCTGTATGAATACGTTACTTTATCAGGTTCTCTTTTAAACGTCTAGACCATTGTTCATACAGCAGGGAATCCCACATGAGCCGGAGGAGAACCACTTTTGTTCTGGAATAATTTTGATAAGTCATCCCTGAGTACACTCAGGTTCTCTCTCGACTTAAACCTGTGTCTTTTTAGCTTGTGTTAATAGGTTCCTCGACTTCAGAGATTACAGAAAATTGGGATGCCAGTTTTAAAGGGATATGTCTGAATTGCCACTGAAAGGCATTGTGACCTAATAGAAGGTTGGTAGCCAGAGCTCTAAGAAGCATGTTGCTTAGCCTGTAGACTGGTCTTAACCAGGTGTCTGCCCTCCCATCCCCTCTGCCTTAAGTCCTTGAGAGCAAATTTGATTCTAGCTCTTTGAAAGGCATGTGTGGGTCTCGGTTATTGTAAACTTAGGGGAACAATTAGAAGACACTCAGAAGCATGGGATTGATTCCAGATTCACTTCTAGGGTTTGAATCTGCCTGGCTAGAAGGGCATAGGATCGAGTTTGGTCTAGTAGAGAATTCTAAGGACTAATTCACAGTCAACTGAATACCTAAAGCTTGAGTGGCCATCCTGTGGCCCGGGGCTGGGCCACCTGCTGCCCCGCCACATGGAGGCTTCCTGGGAAGCCACCCACTTTGGGCAAGAGTCAAATGCAGAGGTGTATACTGAGGATCTGGTTTGAGAGGGACTGCTGAGGGCAGGAGACTGTATTTATGCTGGGAGTGTCCCAGAAATACATCAGTAGCAGTCAGGGGAAAAAAAAAGTCCCTAAATTCTTTGTGGTGTGTTTGCAAATCAACTTAACAGAGACTGCTTTGACCCTGATCAGTTTGAATCTCTCTGGCTAAAACAGCAGGACACAGGTTTCCTCTTTCTCTTGCAGCCAGTACAGTGGGGGGTATGTGGTGGATGAAGGTCGAGGAAGCTTCATCTGACCGGTGTGGGCGCTGGGCTGTTGTCAAACATCCCTGAACCTCCTTCTCTTCTCAGGCAACCCCCTGACCAGACGTCTAAGACAGGAAGGGCTCCTCTCCTCCCCTGCGCTCCTCTTGGGGTGCCAGCGGAGCCCATCACTGCTTAGAAAGGGTACTGACTTCTGAGAACACAAGGCTGTTCCTTCTCCCAGCATCTCCTTTTTCCGTCCCTTATGAACCCTCCATCCTAGATGACATCCTCCCCACCATCCCCCTCCCAGAGGGTCTCTCCCGCTTTTCCTCCTGTGGTCTGGTGGTTTCTCCCCAACCTCCCCCGCCCCTTCGAATGTGAATGGCCATCCTTAGTACCCATGTTTAAGGAGAGCCAGCTGGTACGTTGTCAGGAAGCACTATTTAAAATGTGAATTGTCACAGAACAAATAAACACTGTGTATAGGAGCATATGTGTGTGCTGCTCACATTCTTTCCAGCCGTCAAGGATGGTGTGTTCTCCCTGATGGAAGAGAGAAGGGGCGAGGCGGTGGATGTGAGCCAGAGGCTCAGAGAGGAATGTCAGCTGCAGCCTGGTCTCTGGGGAAGCATCCCTTGGGTTCTCCACTGGGGAACTGCTGTCCTGTTCACATGGCCTCGGTGGGCTGGTGTTTTGTTTGTTTTGCTGCACCCACTGCTTGTCGGATATCTCAGTTCCCTGACCAGAGACTGAACCCAGGCCACGGCACTGAAAGCCTGGCATCCTAAGCATTTGACCACCAGGGGGCTTCACGTGGGCTGTTTTGGGGGTGGCCTGTCCCTGCAGGCCGTGGGAGCCTTCTCATGTGTCCTGGTCTCCTGGTCTCTCCAAGGATAACGTGTAATTAACATAGTAATTAACATAGTGTGATGTGGCCCCTATCACATGGATGCCGGACGCGGTGGCAGGCAGCGCGGAGGACACGCGCTCTACATGGCATCGTTCGTAGTACTGCCTCCCAGTGTGTGGCTTTAAAGTCAAGTGCACCACAGCTGAGCTGAGCCCCTATCAGCCCCCCGTCTCTGTTCTCCTGACCAGCCTGACTGCCCCCTAAAGGGCAGGATCTCTATTTTACTCCTCTTTTTATCTCCCAGAACCCGGCACATAATGAACAATTGAATCAAGAAGGAATTTCTGAATGAGTGAGATGTGGGGTGGCGGGGAGTGGTGGAGTGGGGGTGGTGAGACTAAGCTGTGATGGAAAAGGGAGCCAGAGCGCTGGGCACCTGGGTGTGCACCCCTTGGATTTAGACTTTCAATACCCTTGTTCTCAACCTCTGGAAGTCACACTCAGGAAACAGACTGTGGCTTGAACACGTGTTGATCACAGAGCAACGTGTAAGGTGGGGCTTTGGCCTGCTCTCCAAACCCCCTAACTCCTAACACTCTTCTACAGATAAGCCAGCCACCTTGGCCTCAGGCTCCTGGCTGGTGCCTTGTTGAAGTTCCTTGTCATGTAGTTCTGAGTAGAAGTCTACCCCTTCGGAGATGGAGCGGATGGGCTGACCGTGGAACTGGGGGTAGCTGGTCATGGGGCCCCCCGGCTGGGCTGTGCACGCCAGCTGCTGCAGGAAGCACTGGTGGTGATGTGGTTGGCAGCCTGGGGCTCCTCGGAACCTCTTACTGTGCCTGCACTTGAATTCCAGCACCAGCCGGGTGTAGGTGTTGAAGGTGGTGACCGCCGATGCCATGCAACAGGTAAAGGAGACCCAGGCCGTGCTAGGGACACACACACGGAAAATGGGAAAGTCAGACATTTTCTTACGGGTTTGAAAGAAAAATATCAAGGTCCCTTCCTACTAGTCAACTAGGGGATGCCTCTTAGGGATTTAGGAAGATGAGGGTATTGTAGATAAAGACTGGTGGGCAAGAGGTCTGAATTTGGTCTGTCCTAGGGTAAGTTCTGGATGTTTTAATAGTAAAAAGCCATGATTTATATGGTGTTTAAAGTCAGGAGTTGAACATTCATTTTCACTGCACTGATTTTGTTGTGAGTGCTGTGTTCTTTTATACCTGGCGGCCTATTTTGTGTGTGTGTGTGTGTGTGTGTGTGAGTCACTCAGTCATGTCCAACCCAATGGACTATAGTCCGCCAGTCTACTGGAATGGGTAACCATTCCCTTCTCTAGGGGAATCTTCCTGACCCAGGGATTGAACCCGGGGCTCCTGCATTGCAGGCCGACTCTTTACCATCTGAGCCAGCAGGGAAGCCTGAAACACACATATTTCCTGCCAAAGATTTTCCTGCACTCAGACACCTCTTCCGTCTTCCTTGGTTTTCAGCCTAGCTGTCGTAGGCTGCCCAGAGTTGAGCGTCTGGGAGGCATTCAGGAAACCCTGAGTACACATCCAAAGGCCTTAGTATAGACTTCTCTAGTGGAAACAAGGCCTACCATGCAAACAGCGTGGTTCTTGACTCAAAGGAGATTTGTAAAGGATGGAAGAGAAGCTGGATGGATTCAACAAAGAGAAAAAGACGCCAGGGAACCATATCAAACACACTCCTAAGAACTGGGAAAGTCAAGGCCCTGAGTGTCTCACAGTCGTGGGAAGCCCAGGACACCAGGAGTTGGGGGGCGTTGCTGGAGGGTGGATTTCATGAGGCCGTGACAGTGAAAGGCCACATGCTGCTGCTGTGTGTTCCCCTCTGCTGCCTGTGGCAGACTAGACTCGGGTGGGAGATACTTGGGTGGGAGTTTTGAAGTCTGAGCCCTGCAGTTGAAATGCCAAGAGTGGCTTGAAAAATGGACAAAAGCTGAGAAATGATGAGTCCAGAAAATGAGCTAAACTGTGATAGGGTGGCTGATGGAAAGATCAGAGACCCCCGAATCCAATAGCCCATATTATACCATGAGGAAAGGGGACGGGATCTCGTGACAGACAGGTGTAGGCTTTCCATGTGCCTCTTCGGCACAGAAACTCAAGCCTGGCGCTGTCTTTCCAGCACTGGTAAGTGCTTAGAACTCAGCCCAGATGATTCATGATCTAAGTCGGCATCTGTGTAGTGAATGAGAGTGTCCCTCAAGGGAGAAGATGAGAAACCCACATAAAGGGGATGTTATCCTTGAATGCTTGCGTTTCATCATGGTTTCTGCTTCCTTCTTTATAATAAGAGAAGTCTAAACTAACTGAGCCCTTAGTTCTTTAAGGGTTAGAGAGAGACTGTTTCATTTCTAACCCAGTTT